CTGGGGTGCCCAAACTGGGGTGCCCAACCAGGGGTGCCCAAACAGGGGTGCCCAAATCGGGGTGCCCAAATCAAGCTTAGTCAGTCCTTCCTTCCCGGGGCATTGTGGGCTCCTCCACACATCAAAGCCCATCGGCACCCGGTCGTCAACAGGACTTACTCCCGCAATGGAGAGGATGCTACTGCTAACACCGACAACAACATAGGGCATAGGGCTATGACGACAAGCACTCCAGCCCAGCAGCCAGCATCGTGCAGACGCCGCCCACCCAAGCACTCCAGCCCTATGGTTACTATTGAGGCCTATTGAAGAACGCAGGGCCATGCCTGCACTGAAGATGCTTAAGACCTAAGGACCTAGGGACTTAGGGGGTGATGGAAGAGAAAGGACCTTGCAACAAACTATCCCTCGACATGGACTAAAATCCCACTTGGGATTTCTGCGAGCCTGGCCAACCATGGTATTCAGGAGATCCGCAACGAAGCCGTCGAATGTCTCGAGTGCACGGGGTGGCAAGTCACCCGCAGTGCAATCTGTCAGCTTCTTCTCCAGCACGACGAAGTCAATCTCGCGCTTGGTGGACACCTCGTGCATGTAATCCGCGAAATCCATGCCCGCAAGCGACTTTACGTGCCGCTGCATCCATGACTGAAGCTCCTTATGCATGTCCAAGCTTCCGTCTCTGTCAGGGAAAGCAGAGAAGCCGCTGAGCAGCGCATCCACAAACCTGGATGTCACTTGATCCTTCCCCACGCCACCCTCCATTACCTCCTTGGCCATGTCACGGATCCTACCAAAGAGGAGGTCTTCAAAGCCAGCGCTGCTGCCACTTCTCAAGCCGCTCCTGAAAACACTCATGTCTTTCAGGAGATCAACAATCTCATCTGTTGTCAATCGTGGCTTTGTCTCCACCTTGGACATGCTTGCGCGGAACTTGGGCTCCAATGTCCGCGATGTTGCGCCCGTGCGGATGACCTCGTCCATAGCCTTAGTAAAGGCTTCCTTCCGAAGCAAAGATTTCATGCACTTCTCCAGACCGCTGGAACCCTTGTAGTTCGAGAAGTAGGTCAGGTCGGGAAGCTGGCCGACTTGAGGCACGTCCTTGAGGTCCAAGAGCAGCGCAAGGCCTGCGAGGAACTTGTGCACCGTCTCCACTGCATGCACGATGCAGCTCAAATCCACCGGCGATTCCTTCAGCTTCGTCACGATGTCCTGGGGCTTCTGGTCCTCCGCCTCAACTAAGTACCTCGTGAGCACCATGCGACACAGAGATCGATTCCTCTCCAAGCACTCACCCAAGAAATCCATGAACACAGTGCTGGTGAAGAAGGACACATAGGCTCCCGCGATGGCCTGTTCGGCCGGAACTCAAGACGATCTTGATTGAGCAACTACAATGGACCCGGGCTGTGACCAATGGCCAATGATCATCCTATTACCCGGTATTACACTGTACATATGATGTAGGGTTCAGGGTCCAGGGTTCTCGATCTAGTATATGTTCGGGCTTAGGACATAGGACATAGGAGTCAGGGCTCGCAGTTTTCAGGCTTATAAATCTAATTTTTACATCTTACGGCTTTACACTGAGCTTCCAAAGCCCTAAATTCTAGGGATTCTAGGACTCTCGGACTTTAGTCTTCAATCTAAACTCCGGTGTTAAAGAAGTGATGTAAATCAAATTTCAAGAACTGATTGACTCTAGCGGACTCTAGCGGCTCTAGCGGTAGCGACTCTAGACTCTAAGTTTAGTGACTGACCAGTGAGACGATTGCCTCTGCGTCGCCTTGCACACGCTCAAGGATCGTGGGTGCGGTCTTCTCGGTCGCTGCTGCCACGTCACCGTCCTCTGCCTGCCCGACGAGGTCCACAATCTCGTCCTGGTTCTCCTCGATGGTGAGGAAAAGCCGCTGAAGCACAGCTGCAAAGGAAGGCTTCAGCAAGTCCAAGGAGTTCAAGGCCTGATCCTCCGCAGTTCTCAAGCTCAACCGCTTCACAAGGGAGGTGACGCCTTCCATGCAGGCTGCCTCGTTGAGACCATCCTCAGTCGATTCGTCCTGATACTCCCCTTCCGTGAGGAGGTCCGTGAGGCTGTCAGCCGAGCTGCGTGCCGTCCACTGTGACCAGACCTTCAGCGGCAAGTCGTCCTCCGCATCCTGAAGCATGCTGATGCACCACTGCACATCATCATAGCTCATGTACATGAGGTCGTTCTCGACGACCTTCGCTGCGGCCTTGCATTGGTCAATGCGGTGGCTTAGGCTGTCCGCCTCCGTATGCTTCTTCGCCGTCTTCAAATTGCCGAGCAGTCTCGCGGCCTGGGCACAAGTCGTAGTGACGTAGTGGTCGCAGTGACCAAGAAAATGAGACCCTTGCACGTTTATGCAAACTCGCACGGGATTGAAACCTTTGGGGCTTAGGCACTGCCAACATAGCACATATGTCGTATGACATATGTAGCTACGACGTAGTTCATGTATCCCACGTGAACAAACTGCATGCCGAATCAAAAGTGACTGCCACAAAACTCCCGATGCCAAGCCACCCCATTCAGGCACTGTCCCAGTTTTCCCTCGGACAGGAACTTCTGGACAGTGAGGCTTGTCAAGCACTTGACGCTGGCACCGCTGCTCGTGCCGAGATGCACGGATGCGATGCGGAAGAGTTCCTCATCGTGGTGCTTGAGATAGAGCAAGCTCTCGTCCTTTTCTTTGCCAGCACTGCTGCGCGTAGCTCCTGCTTTGGTGTCGCAGATGGGCTCCTTGGGCGCCAGATCGCCCGCGCGGCCCGTGAAAGCAGCACTCGCAGAGGCTGTAGTACCCGTAGTCACAGCCAAAGGTCCATCTCTCGCTTTGGCCTGCTTCTTCTTCGCAGCCTTTCCCTGGGTAGGGCCATCCACCTCGATCCTCGGTGCAGCCCTTTGCTTCCTGCGCTTCTTGCCGTCCTGCTCATCCTCATTCTCGTCGCTGCTGTGCATCTCGGGCTCCTCCGCCGCGCCCCGGTTGGGGTGCCCAGAGAACGCCTGCTCCTCCATCTCACGAAGCTTTTGCTGCCACTGAGCCACAGTCTTCACGAGCCCGTTTGGCTTCAGAGGCGGCGAGGTTTTCTCAGTGAAGGATTTGTGCACATGCGCATGCATGCGCAAGCCCTGGGCCTGGATGAGCTGGTCCTCGTGAGCAAGGTGAAGCTTGTCGTGGATCACAGCGACGCGGGTGAAGATCTTGGCCTTGTAGATGTTGTACAGCTCGTCCGGCGGCAAGCCCAGCAAGGAGATCGGGTAGAGGTTCTTGTTGTTGTCATTTGGGCCTTCCAGCTTCATTGCAACGACCTCCAAGCCGAACTTCTCCGGCGCCGCACCTGTTAGACGAACCACATCCGTGTGTGTGGCCAGGCCGATCTTGTGATAGACCTCGTGCCCTTGCTCCGTTGCAACGTAGACATTACTCCTAGGCTTGAATCGTGGCTGCTTGGAGGGGTCATCGTAAACGTCCCTGGCTTCGTCGAGTTCCTGATCCATCTCCACCCCCTCCTGCTTGCCGGATGTTTTCACACCCAAGACCTGCTGGAAGCCCATGTCGGGGTAGAGCTCGCTGTCCAACTCCATGCACTCGTGGCACCCTGCATGCGGATTGCGATGGCCGTCCTTGTCGGTCTCGCCCCATTCCAGTCCGTGAGCCTGGCATAGACGAGGCTCGCACGCAGCAGCAATTTGCACATCATGGGAGCCTCGTAGGCCCTAGGGCCCTATAGGGCCCGAGGGCCTTAGGGCCTACCCCCTTTACAGACTCCCAAGGTCACGCAACCGATCAGACACAAAGCTACAGCAGCCCCTTGGCCCACGTGGGTTCTCAGTAGTGGAGACTTCTACTCTACTCTGCACGGACTGCGCTACATGTCCCTGCCACGCCTTGATGTCGCGTCCACACTGTGGGCAGACCCAGACTTTCTTGGGCATCGCTGCCTTCTTCGCCTGCCCACCTTCTGGGTCATCTGCGGCCACGATGGCCGTGCACTGGGTCGCTGATTCTGGCGCCTGGCATCATCGCAAGTCAAGAACCCTTTCCGTCGCTGCAGACACAAGCAATTGCTTCCGCGCACGAAAACAAAGTGAAACAGAAACCCAGTGTGTCTTCTCGAACTCCGACACAGAACTCCCAAGTTTTCATTGCACGACCTACCCTGATGCCCTGCCTTCCGTTTCTTCAACTCGGCAGCACTGGGTGTGCCGGTTCCTTTGCCCTTGCCGCCTCTGCCGCCTTTCCCCATGGCTGCTCTGTCTGGAGTGCTGCTGGCACACTGGTCCCCAGATGTACCGGGCAGCAAAAGAACTATGCCTGCCGCGTATTTGGCAAGCGCGAAGCTGTGGAGCCTATGTGGGGTCGCCTCATGATAGCAGCCTAGCACACGCGCATGTCAGCAGACCAGCCGTGAACAATCTGCAAAGTGCACAGCCCTGATGTGACAGCGGCTCATACTACCACAACAACAGACATCAGCGCCGATCGCGAATGCCCCTCTTCCTCTCAGAGTGGGCCTCTTTGGCGGGTGCTTCGCCGAACAGGTGATCAGATGCAGCTACAGCTACACTGCTATAGTTGATACAGATGGCTGCACAGACTGTCGCACTCTTGCTCAAAGCTAAGTCCCTATGTCGTCTACACTGCTACACTGCTACACGATGCGACACAGACTGTGGCACTCTTCCTCAGGGCTACGTTGCTGCGTCCACGTTTGTGCTGTTCACTCGCAAAGTACGACCACCACTGCCGAAGCGCTACCGCTAAGGCGCTAAGCCGCTAAGGCTGCTAATGCTGCTAGCTGCTAGCGGCTAAGAAAGGCCAAAACCGTACCGTAGCCCGGGAAGTGAAGAGCGACTGCAACTGCGACTGGGACAAAGAAGCCTCTGACTCTATCGGCTAGCGGCAAGCGGCGGCTGGCGACTCTGGCGCTCTAGCCGCTCGCCTCTCGCAGACTCTAGCCGACTCTAGCCGCCAGACTCTAAGACTCTTAGACTCTATAGCACTGTAGCAGCTGTGTTTTGTTAATGGGGTGACATTGCAGTCATTCTTATTTGCTAATCTGGTAAGATAGAGACCCAGACAAGGCTACAGTGCATTCCATACAAACATTCTAAACAAGCTACAAAACGCTGGCTGAGGCTGCATTCTCACGTGTCGCAAACGAACCGCGGGCGCACTGGCTGCAGCGCACCACGGAACAAACCAAGTGCAGCTGGCTGGATCTGTTCTGGCCCAAGTCGATACTACGGCTACGAAGCAATGACCCTGAATGACTCCCTTGCCTCGCTAGCCTTGGTTTTATGAAACCCAAGAGTACAGCGCAGTGCTCTGCTAGCAGCTAGCAGCTACATACTACGATTCCTAAGAGCCTCACGGACTAGCCGACAGACCCGCTCCACCAAGACTTCAAGGCCACGCTAATTAAGCGTGCAACAACCAGACCCGGGCTGATCTGCCTGGCCTGCACAAGGGCCGCCACAGCTGCTAGAGCTGCTGGGGCCGTGAAACCAAAGAACTGTAGCTGATGTCACTGCTCCTGGTCCTGGCCCTGGAGAAGTGCCAGTGTCCACAGGATACAGCCCAGGCAAGGCAAAGCAATCCCCTCTCCAGCAAGGTTGCGGACATCCAGGGAACTCATTGAAGCCGGGATTTTCAAAGAGCGTCGATGTCCCTGCCAGAGGAGAAGCTCGAATGGCAGCACCACGCGATCCCGCCCATATGAGTAAATCAAGGATGACGAGGTCAAAGTTCTGGCGCAGCTGTTCTCTGTCTTGGAAAACGCACGTCTGTTCGGATTTTGGGAGACATCGCAATACACATGCTTCAGCTGCTGTTTCCATTCACTCCAAGACATATTGCACGCCTCGGGCAGCTGAGTCAAGTGGTGCCACGCCACACAATCCAGGATGGATTTTATTCTCTCTGTCTTGGGCAGGCCCCTTCCCCGGAACTCTGGATGTCTAGTCCACGCCGTCATAGTCGAAGGCACCCGCAGCTCCGTTTTCCATTCCTGGATCTGAGCCATCCATTTCCGGCCCAGGCCATCCGGCTTTGTCTGCGGCTCCTGCAGAGACACACTATGTCAGCTATGTATAAGTATATACTCGTATAACGTCGTATAACTAGGTCAACGTTCTATACATATGTCATATGTGTCTACCCATACGAAGAGGATCCTAGCTAGCTGCTAGCTGCTGCCAGCTGTCAGAACTGTCATAGCTGTCATAGCTAAGCTAAACTTGAAACTCAAACAGGTACACCTACTTTCACAACAAACATGTAGATTCCAATGTAGATTCCTTAGCTTGCCTGCCGTCCAAATATCGCCTGAATTGTGCGGCGTCTAGAAAGTCTAGAATCTAGAATCTGTGTGAAAACACGTGTCAAAAAAATATAGGCGCAACGCATCATAATTGTATGGAATTGTCAGAGTTCTTTAATCTTCAGCAGGTTAAGCAACTTCGGAAAGCAGCCTACTACTTACTTATAAATTCCCAATATTCATAATAGCAAACTAATTAACTTCCTGATATTGATAATAGCAGCTTAACTAACTTCCTAGTATTTCCAATAGCAGTATGGAATAGCAGCCTGGTTACATTTCTAATTTGTATAATACTTCGAATAGCGGCTTAATTGACTTCTTAATATTTATATGGGCAAGCCAATCAACTTCCAAACATGTACAATAGCAGCCCCATTAACTTCCTAATATTTAAATAGCAATTGAATTGATTTCTTATTGTTTAACTTGAAATAGCAGTCTAATTAATAATTAGAAACTACTGAGTCCTATTGTTTAAATAGCAGCCTCACTCAGTCTGACTGTCCTGTTCCGTTACGTACTATTGACTGAGAAATCTAGGAGCCACGTCCTAGCTCCGGCTCGCAAAAAAAAAGCGTTTCCAAAAAGCGTTTTCGAAGCGTTTTCGCACCTGGTGTTTTTCAGAGAGCATTTGTCAAAGCGTTTTCGGAGCGTTTTCGGAGCGTTTTCGGAGCGTTTTCGGAGCGTTTTCCGGATCCCTGGAGCGTTCCCGGAGCGTTTTCGGAGCGTTTTTGGAGCGTTTTCGGAGCGTTTTCGGAGCGTTTTTGGAGCGTTTTCGGAGCGTTTTTGGAG